ACTATTTTTGTTGACCTTTGTCCATGGAAGGTCCCTGCAAAATTTCATTGAAATTGGTTCAGGGGTTTTGGAGAAGAAGTCGAAAATGTAAATTGTTTACGGACGCACGACGGACGACGGACGACGACGGACAAAAGGCGATCGCAATAGGTCACTTGAGACTTTGTCTCAGGTGACCTAATAAAAACAAACTACTACCAAATAAGATGACAGTCATTTATATAAAATGAAATTTGATATATGAAGCATGAGGTGGTCGGGTGGCGCAGTAGATAACGCACTCGGCTTTCACCAAGGCGGCCGGGGTTCAATTCCCCACTTGGGCGTGGAAAGGTATGGGGTCACCTGCCTGACCCTGTGGGTTTTCTCTGGGTACTCTGGTTTCCTCCCACATTAAGACCCTACGCGCTAACATCCTGGCCATAAACAGTGATTAATATAAGTTGAAATAACTTGTTTCATAATTGTTATAAAATAAATAAAGTTAATATTTATTTATATTTCAGCAGAGAAAATGTCAATGTATGCTGAACTGAACTTACACTGGCAGGCCTATCTGATTACAACAAACCTATTATATAACAAATTACACAACACTGTAGGATTTTAAGCATTGATAGGATTTTCTTCTTAATTATAATTAACTGGATGAGATAAAATAAAAACTTGTAAGCAAACTGATAATGACGTTACAATATGCTGATGTGTCATATTGCTGTAAATTATTTCATCTATATCACGCAGAAGCAATCATTGCAGCTAGAAATAAAAAAGCTAGTTTCAAGTCAATGATGATGAATTTTTAAGTATGTATGAACCAAATTTTAGGATCAGAAGGTTCAGAACAAAAATTACAACTGATTACTAAATGAGAGAAAATAAGCAGAAATCCTCACAACTAAATCCCAATCAAAGTAACAAATCATGAAAAGACACATTATCTCGCTTGTTATGTGCTGTTAACAACAAGGTCAATTTTAATTATCAATATGTCCTGGACTGGGATTCTGAAAACCAGCCACGTTGTTCCAGACATTGCCAGCTTTCTGTAGTTGTACTGTATACTGCTTGAAAACTATTATGATGTTAATGTTCTCAATAAATTATATTGGATTATATCATACATGACAAAAACAAGGAATATTACTTTTTCACACAAACGGTACGGAACAAGTGGCACATATATACATTACTATGAGTATACCAGGGGTGTATCAAAACAGGCAAAATATATCAGTTGTTTACCAAAACAAGCAAACAAACCTGGGTTTAACCAAAAAGGAAAACTGTGAAAATTCAGGGGCTCAGAGTTTACAATACAGAACAGGGAGAACTTCAGTATGTCAGTTATAGGTCCTACTGACCATCTGGTCATGTGGTACTCCTGTCATGTGACCCAATTGTCATATGACCCTATTGTCATGTGACTTAATTGTTATGTAACCCAAATGTCATGTGATCCTAATGTCATGTGATTGTATTGTCATGTGATCATATTGTAATGTAATCCTTATGTCATGTGACCTTAATGTCATGTGACCCTATTTTCATGTGACCCTATTATCATGTGGTTCAGTTGTGATGTAACCTTATTGTCATGTGACTCCATTATCATGTGATCATACTGTAATGTGACTTCATTATCATGTGATCATACTGTCATGTGACTCCATTATCATGTGATCATACTGTCATGTGACTCCATGTGACCCTATTATCATGTGGTCCTGTTGTGATGAAACCCTATTGTCATGTGACTCCATTATCATGTGATCATACTGTCATGTGACTCCATGTGACTCCATTATCATGTGGTCTTATTGTAATGTAACCCTATTGCCATGTATCAAGTCAATGTATGGTTACGATATATCTCAACTAAATCATGAAGTATGGATGACAATGGGTTTTAAATGATTAGAGATCTCCTGAGAGAAAGGAAAGAGTAAGCCTGGTTATACAGGGTAGCCTAGGAGAATTCTCTATACAAGCTAAAACATCTAGCTCTGTAGTGTCACAGATACCTTTTAGTTTGTCTGTTACCAAAAATACAGAAAACAGATTTTAGTAAACAATGAATTTAAATCCCACAGAAAAACACCATCCTCGATACTCCAAGGTTTATGCCCAGTTACGCTCTTGGCACCACTGGAATATGTCATGACAAAATCAAAGGCTCAGTGTGCGCCACTTGTAGGATGGGATAAGACAAGTCTGATCCATTAATGTACATCAAGTGAATCTCACGGTTGCGTAACAGAAATTGGCACACTTTGAAGTCGGGTGTCGCTCCTCTGTAATCCTCAAAGGACATGCGATTGGTCAGGGTGTTTTCTACACTGACCAAGGAAATAACTAGTAGTGAGCTTTCGATTGTTCTATGACATATTCCAGGGGTGCAGAGAGCATAAGTGAGCGTAACCCCTGGAGTATCGAGGATGAAAAAACATATGCAGAATAACTTTTTAACTTTTTTTTGTTGCACACAATATCAATGAAAGCAATTTTAAGATTATCAAATATTAATAACAGGAAAATCTATCATTTGAACAATCTAATATATATATTTGATCCCCTTAGATGCATTTAAACATTTAGTATTGTGTTTTAAATCATTAGTTCTTGACCAATTTTATACATTTTATTGTCTATCAGTGACTGACTGTACTTACCACTAGCAGACTCAATATTAGTGTCGCCCATCTCTATGCTACGAACGTGAGACAGTAACGTGGACAGGTTTCTTATGAACGCTTCGTTAACAATACGCGGCCGGAACACCTGGAACCAGTGAAGGTCATCGCATCGAATCATTATATTATATAACGACAACACTACAAACAGGGGCATAACTAAAATTCAATGAAACTTTACGATCCCTGTCCCAATACACTGTGGTATTACCTATACACAGTAACCTCCCCTTAACTTCCATCCCTGTCCCACTACACTGTGGTATTACCTATATACAGTTATCTCCCCTTAACTTCCATCCCTGTCCCACTACACTGTGGTATTACCTATATACAGTTACCTCCCCTTAACTTCCATCACTGTCCCAATACACTGGTTTTACCTATTTACAGTTACCTCCCCTTAACTTCCATCCCTGTCCCAATACACTGGTTTTACCTATTTACAATTACCTCCCCTTAACTTCCATCTCTGTCCCACTACACTGTGGTATTACCTATATACAGTTACCTCCCCTTAACTTCCATCCCTGTCCCAATACACTGGTTTTACCTATTAACAGTTACCTCCCCTTAACTACCATCCCTGTCCCACTACACTGTGGTATTACCTATATACAGTTACCTCCCCTTACCTTCCATCCCTGTCCCACTACCCTGTGGTATAACCTATACACATTGAGTAACCTCCCCTTAACTTCCATCCCTGTCCCAATACACTGGTGTTACCTATTAACAGTTACCTCCCCTTAACTTCCATCCCTGTCCGACTACACTGTGGTATAACCTATACACATTGAGGAACCTCCCCTTAACTTCCATCCCTGTCCCACTACCCTGTGGTATTACCTATATACAGTTACCTCCCCTTAACTTCCATCCCTGTCCCACTACACTGTGGTATAACCTATACACATTGAGTAACCTCCCCTTAACTTCCATCCCTGTCCCACTACACCGTGGTTTTACCTATACACAGTTACGTCCCCTTAACTTCCATCCATGTCGCAAATACTGAGGTTTTACCTATACACAGTTACCTCCCCTTAACTTCCATCCCTGTCCCAATACACCGTGGTTTTACCTATACACAGTTACCTCCCCTTAACTTCCATTAGTATATAACTGTAGCATAGCAGGGCCAGGACACTTCTGTTGACCAGGTATCTAATCGCTTAGAACGATTGTATAACAATCTGAAGATCAGAGTTCAAATCCGGGTCTATCTCCACTGATGTTTCTTTACTCCGAACAGCGTTGTTGATTATTATTATTATTTTGTTTATTTCATCTTGATTATTTTTCATAAAAGTCCCGCAAGGTATGGTTTTCTTTTCAGAAATTATTTACTAAAATTAAAGTCATGGCGGAAGAATCACTTTCCAACACTTCGTTACAGTTTTTGGCAGTGGTACAGGGAACCTTGAAGTCAACAGACAGATGGACAGACGGACAGATGGACAGATGGACAGACGGACAGATGGAAGCTATACTATTAAACACCCCATCAAACTTTTTAACAGGAAAAATATCGTTTTATTTGTATTTATAATCCAAAAGAAAATGAGTTATATATTTTTCAAATGTTGTTTGTTTGACATTATTGAAACCAAACTTCATGCGTTTTGGTTTTCTTTTTAGATTCAGCAGTATTCCCCCCCAATACTCGGAACACTAGTTTTATAAGGTTGATTAACATTGCTCAAATTCAAACTAACCATCCTTTACATTTTATTTTTAAATATATCTTAAATGAATTTGAATGTGAGTTCATTTACAAATGACATACCTGACTGGTGACGAGATGTAGGAATATATGTATGTAAGGTAGACTTGTCTTCAGCTGTTTGGCCTGTACAGTATTCGGATGTTTTCTCCCCGCAATGGCCTCCAATGGTGACAGGATTTCCTCTGTACAATAAGGTAATATAATAAAGAAGGTTTCTAGAGACGCATAGATGGTTTACTGGTAATATAGAAACGTATTAAAAAATCCAACAGATTACAGATAATCCCTGCATGATACACACACCACTAGAGGATCCCTGTCCTACTGTATTGCCGTTTTTCCGATACACAGTAACCTCTCCTTAATTTACGTTTGGATATAGCTGTTGTACATTTGGGTTTGTACACTTCCCAGTCTAGCCCTGCAGAATATTTTACACTCAGAACACTTTTGTTGTTTACATTTTGTTTAATTCATCTTACATTATCCCTTCATAAAAGTCCAGCAAGGTACACTTTTCTATTCAAAAATGATTTATCAAAGATATAGCCATGCTGGAAAAATAAGTTTTGAATGCATAGACACATTTTTTGGCAGTGGTACGGGGATCCTGAAGTTGATATTGCAAGTTAAGAACCACCATTGAATTTTCTCTAACAACGTCATCAATCAGTGGGTTTACATGTTACCATATCATCTGAATAACACCAGAATTGTTCTTATTTTTCAATTGTGAAATTGTGAAATTTTAAAAACTGAAGACTAGACACGACATCCTTAAATTGTTTAACTTACAGAGGACTCAAGGGACACACAAAATGTGTGTGATCAGTGGATCTAGATACTTGGTGAGGTACTCAGCCTGTCACTCTAGGATTTATACTTATAACTTACTGAAGACTTTTGGGACACCATCCGCTATGTGTGTAATCAGTAGATCTAGACACTTGGTGAGGAGCTCAGCCTGTCACCCTAGGATTTATATTTATAACTTACAGAAGACTTTGGGGACACCATCCACTATGTGTGTGATCAGTAGATCTAGACACTTGGTGAGGTACTCAGTCTGTCACCCTAGGATTTATATCTATAACTTACTGAAGACTTTTGGGACACCATCCACTATGTGTGTAATCAGTAGATCTAGACACTTGGTGAGGAGCTCAGCCTGTCACCCTAGGATTTATATTTATAACTTACAGAAGACTTTGGGGACACCATCCACTATGTGTGTGATCAGTAGATCTAGACACTTGGTGAGGTACTCAGCCTGTCACCCTAGGATTTATATCTATAACTTACTGAAGACTTTGGGGACACCATCCACTATGTGTGTGATCAGTAGATCTAGACACTTGGTGAGGTACTCAGCCTGTCACCCTAGGATTTATATTTATAACTTACTGAAGACTTTGGGGACACCATCCACTATGTGTGTGATCAGTAGATCTAGACACTTGGTGAGGTACTCAGCCTGTCACCCTAGGATTTATATTTATAACTTACTGAAGACTTTGGGGACACCATCCACTATGTGTGTGATCAGTAGATCTAGACACTTGGTGAGGTACTCAGCCTGTCACCCTAGGATTTATATTTATAACTTACTGAAGACTTTGGGGACACCATCCACTATGTGTGTGATCAGTAGATCTAGACACTTGGTGAGGTACTCAGCCTGTCACCCTAGGATTTATATTTATAACTTACTGAAGACTTTGGGGACACCATCCACTATGTGTGTGATCAGTAGATCTAGACACTTGGTGAGGTACTCAGCCTGTCACCCTAGGATTTATATTTATAACTTACTGAAGACTTTGGGGACACCATCCACTATGTGTGTGATCAGTAGATCTAGACACTTGGTGAGGTACTCAGCCTGTCACCCTAGGATTTATATTTATAACTTACTGAAGACTTTGGGGACACCATCCACTATGTGTGTGATCAGTAGATCTAGACACTTGGTGAGGTACTCAGCCTGTCACCCTAGGATTTATATTTATAACTTACTGAAGACTTTGGGGACACCATCCACTATGTGTGTGATCAGTAGATCTAGACACTTGGTGAGGTACTCAGCCTGTCACCCTAGGATTTATATTTATAACTTACTGAAGACTTTGGGGACACCATCCACTATGTGTGTGATCAGTAGATCTAGACACTTGGTGAGGTACTCAGCCTGTCACCCTAGGATTTATATTTATAACTTACAGAAGACTTTGGGGACACCATCCACTATGTGTGTGATCAGTAGATCTAGACACTTGGTGAGGTACTCAGCCTGTCACCCTAGGATTTATATTTATAACTTACAGAAGACTTTGGGGACACCATCCACTATGCGTGTGATCAGTAGATCTAGACACTTGGTGAGGCACTCGCCGAACTCGTTACCCTCAGGTTTACCGTCACGAGGCGTCTGTCTGCGACTATCTCGCTCAATGTACATCACAAGTCTGTAACAGAGGCATTTATAATAATTACTCAGTCTGTCACCCTAGGATTTATATCTATAACTTACTGAAGACTTTGGGGACACCATCCACTATGTGTGTGATCAGTAGATCTAGACACTTGGTGAGGTACTCGCCGAACTCGTTACCCTCAGGTTTACCGTCACGAGGCGTCTGTCTGCGACTATCTCGCTCAATGTACATCACAAGTCTGTAACAGAGGCATTTATAATAATTGTATAATATCACAAAATCAAAGTTACAAAAATCTAACTTATGAGATGTAATCTCAATAAAAATGTTCCAATTTCTCAAAAAAAACATGTTCTTCAGTTTTTTGTAAACTAGTGTTTTATTGATATTTAAGTTGATTTTTTACACAGTCATTTTTAATACTGTACATTGGTAAATTTTCTGCTGTAATGAGGGCCATTTATCATTACAGCAAACATGTGTCAACAACGTTATATACATAGTAATTAAATGTGAAAGGCAAAATTAACACTGAGCGATTATGGATTTCACAGGCAAAGGGCAAAAGTTTGACTAGGCCAAAATTTTCCGGTTACATATGCAAGACCACACACTTGTGTTTTTATAACGAATCAGAATGCAAATACCGGGAACTTTTCAGTTCACCATGACAAGGGGATTCCCATCAAAAGTAGTTCCGGCTAGTAGGTAAATACAACATTCCGTATTGCACATATGCAATACAGAACGTTGTATTTCATGGTCCAAAAATTGCCTGTATTACTATAACAAGATTCAACAGGTATGTGATAAAATAACTTCTTTTTCACATTTACGAAAATAATAAGTACAAGAAGACTTTGCCAAGATGTCATTTACACATTTTACTGTAGTGTCATAGTGACGTCACTAGATGGTTGTAGCCATTGCCCACGTACCTCATCTGACAGCTCTGTAGCAGCATGTCGTGGCTACTCTTGACCACTTCATGTAGGACCACAAACGCTTTGGCCCGAATCACCGTTGACGGACTGTCCAGGAGTCGGATCAGCCTCTGGAGGAAGTCCTGTGTACAGGTCGAAGGCAATCAACAATAGTGTTGTACCACAACATGACCAGACTCAATCTCTTGATTTCAGGACATAAGTTTGTATCACAATATTCTAACACGGAACTCAAAAGAAATTACAAGAGAATGCCACGTAAGGAAAACTCTTTAAACATCTTTTATGAATGGTCAATAAATTGATGACACATTTCAACAGTGCATAAGAACATGTAATTCTGAATTATCAGATATTTATTTTTCAAAAGGTAGATAACTCTAACACAAAACAAGGATGTACTTAGCAAGGTAGCATGTATCCTTAATTTTCTCTCTTGATTTTTTTTTAGAAATATGCTAATGCTTAAAAAAGTTGGAAAAATTACGGAAATAACGAGACATAGAGATACAATTCAACATTAAAATTACAGTTAAACCTTCATTTCGTTTGCCACCTCATTTACAGCCAACATATTTCAATGTCCATCCTGACAAACGGTGTCAGTATAATAAGGTTTTTACTGTACATGATTTAAAACAACTTGTGAACATTTTGTTTGTAAATGTCAACAATGACAAATCGAGGAGTCAAAACAATTCTCGTTTAATACCTTGTCCTGTATCAGTCTGTTTAGGTGAGTTCCTGATGATATTAAGGCCCCAAACATGGTCACGATGGCCTGCTGTATGCGTGTGACCCCGAAGGAGAGGGCGGACATAATCGTGGTTAGACCCACTGTGTCTATCACACTCTGGAACACCTGCTGGTTCTGTCTGGTCAACCGACACAGCGCCTGGACAGACAGACATGTGAAGTGGACAAACTATATCGAATTATACCCATTACATTTAATTTCTAGATGGGAGAATGAGGGGGTGGAGGTCATATAATATAAGCATTTTGTTTATTATTATCATAATAGGTAAGTGCTGCACAAAATATTAATACATTACTCAGATAGTTGTGAAGTAGTGATTTCCATATTGTAAATATATGAGGAATATACCGTATAACAGGAAATTTTCGCTTAATCAAACTTTCGCCCTTTACCAATGAAATCAATTTTCGGTCAGTGTTAATTTCATCCTTTACATTAAATTTACGTGTAAGTTCACTTATATTCACTGTAATGATAAATTCTTTCTCATTACAGAGGGCGAAAATGGCGAAAAATTAAACTGGTTGACAGTATTATTAGATTTTTATTAAAAGTAGTTGTAGAGATCCAGTGTGCTTTACACCGATTACAAACATACCGACAAAGCGGTGATCCGCAAGGAATCCACCGTGGAATGTTTGAAGATATACCACAGGGACTGGGCCATCTCATTGTTTACGAATTTCTGTAAAAGAACATTGTGAAAGTCAGAAGAAAGCAGAGGCACCATATATGCATATATTATAATGTACCAGGTAATTTTGAATTATTAGTCTCTAAATTTAAGAAATCAAAATCTTTAAAAGTTTTTTTTCTTGATCAATTTGAACTTAATAATTTAATTAAGTGTTTTACATATGTGTTGGAGGCATGTAACTAAATATTTACCTCTGTGTATTGCCCTCGTGTTGTTCACTTTTACCTCTGTGAAGTGCCTGGGCGTTGATCAGTTTTACCTGTGTGTGTTGCCTGCGTGATGTTAAGTTTGATCTATATTTTTTGCCCTTAGGTTGTAAAGTTTTTTGCTTTTATATTGTTAAGTTTTACCTGTGTGTGTTTCCTGCATGTTGTTCAGTTTTATCTGTGTTTGTTGCCTGCATGTTGTTCAGTTTTACCTGTGTGTGTTGCCTGCATGTTATTCAGTTTTACCTGTGTGTTTCCCGCATGTTGTTCAGTTTTACCTGTGTATGTTGCCTGCGTGTTGTTCAGTTTTACCTGTGTGTGTTGCCTGCGCGTTGTTCAGTTTTACCTGTGTGTTTCCCGCATGTTGTTCAGTTTTACCTTTGTGTATTACCCTGGTGTTGTTTTACCTTTGTGTGTTGCCCTCATGTTTTACCTGTGTGTGTTGCCCACATGTTGTTTTACCAATGTGTGTTGCCCTCATGTTGTTTTACCTGTGTGTTGCCCACATGTTGTTTTACCTGTGTGTGTTGCCCACATATTGTTTTACCTTTGTGTGTTGCCCTCATGTTGTTTTACCTGTGTATGTTGCCCTTGTGTTGTTTTACCTGTGTGTGTTGCCCACATATTGTTTTACCTTTGTGTGTGGCCAACATGTTGTTTTACCTGTGTGTGTGGCCCACATATTAAAATGTTTTACCTGTGTGTGTGGCCCACATATTGTTTTACCTATGTGTGTGGCCCACATGTTGTTTTACCTGTGTATGTTGCCCTCATGTTGTTTTACCTGTGTGTTGCCCTGGTGTTGTTTTACCTGTGTGTGTTGCCCTCGTGTTGTTTCATCTGTGTGTGTTGTCCACATGTTGTTTTACCTGTGTGTTGCCCTCGTGTTGTTTTACCTGTGTATGTTGCCCTCGTGTTGTTTTACCTGTGTGTGTTGTCCACATGTTGTTTTACCTGTGTATGTTGTCCTGGTGTTGTTTTACCTGTGTATGTTGCCCTCATGTTGTTTTATCTGTGTGTTGCCCTGGTGTTGTTTTACCTTTGTGTGTTGCCCTCGTGTTGTTTTATCTGTGTGTGTAGTCCACATGTTGTTTTACCTCTGTGTGTTGTCCACATGTTGTTTTACCTGTGTGTGTTGTCCACATGTTGTTTTACCTGTGTATGTTGTCCTGGTGTTGTTTTACCTGTGTATGTTGCCCTGGTGTTGTTTTATCTGTGTGTTGCCCTGGTGTTGTTTTACCTGTGTGTGTTGCCCTTGTGTTGTTTTATCTGTGTGTGTTTTCCATATGTTGTTTTAGCTCTGTGTGTTGTCCACATGTTGTTTTACCTGTGTGTGTTGTCCTCATGTTGTTTTACCTATGTGTGTCCACATGTTGTTTTACCTGTGTGTGTTGCCCTCGTGTTGTTTTGATTGTGTGTGTTGTCCACATGTTGTTTTACCTGTGTGTGTTGTCCTCGTGTTGTTTTACCTGTGTGTGTTGCCCTCGTGTTGTTTTACCTGTGTGTGTTGCCCTGGTGTTGTTTTACCTGTGTGTTGCCCTGGTGTTGTTTTACCTGTGTGTTGCCCTTGTGTAGTTTTACCTGTGTGTGTTGCCCTCGTGTTGTCACCACATTCTCCACTATTTTGGCGGCCACATGGTTCACTATCACATCCTCCTATCAACAACAAAATATAACCACATTACTTTCTGTGAAATCACTACTTTTCGTAGGGTTTTTAATTTCGTTGATTTCATGGCTAATTTTCATCCACAAAATCAAAGGTCCATGAAGTAAATACAAGTTTGATATAAAGCCATCTCCGTTCGAGTGGTTACTCGTAATTGTTGACAGGAAGCCACAAAATCTGGACCTCAAGAAAGTATCTGATTTTACAGTATCAGCATTTTTTTGTCAAATGTAAAAGTCAGTTTTTTTATTATCTAACAGATATTTTATGTAGAACTAGAAAATGTCTGGAAGACATAAATGCCCCCGCTGCCATGTGAAATCAGTGTTCTATAAAACGTGACCACCACTTTGTTCTAGACCCTGAAACATGCCCACACACAAGGTACTACAATTAAAGTTGATAAGTTGATTTTAATATTCATATGTTTTTTCCGTATGTTATTACCATCCTGAAACACAAGGATGTCAGAGGTATACCCATACTTGACCTTTATATAAAGTTTGACCAAACACTGTGAAAGAATGAAGTTGCTAAGTGTTTAAATTGAATCAGGTGATGATCTCTATATATAGCAACAGTGACCTTGGCCTTGACCTTGGAACCCTGAAACACAAGGATGTCAGAGGTATATCCATATTTGACCTTTGTATCAAGTTTGACAAAAATCCGTGAAAGAATGAGTGTTTAAATTGAATCAGTTGATGATTTTCTATATATAGCAAGTGACCTTGGCCTTGACCTTGGAACCGTGAAACACAAAAATGTACAAGTATACTCATAATTGACCTTTGCATAAAGTTTAACCAAAATCCATGAGAGAATGAAGTTGCTAAGTGTTTAAATTGAATCAGGTGATGATCTCTATATATAGCAACAGTGACCTTGGCCTTGACCTTGGATCCCTGAAACACAACGATGTCTGAAGTATACTCAACTTGACCTTTGTATAAAATTTGACCAATATCTGTCAAAGAATGAAGTTGCTAAGTGTTTGCATTGAATCGGGACGGGACGGAATGGGACAGACATGGGCAACACTATATGCCCCCCCCCCCCCATTTTATGGAGGGTTGTACCTTTGTATAAAGTTTGACCAAAATCTGTCAAATAATAAGCTGCTAAGTGTTTACATTAATTCGGGACGCGACGGGATGCGACGGGACGGGTGTTTACATTGAATCAGGACGGGACGCGACACGACGGGACGGACATGGGCAACACTATATGCCCCTCCATTTTATGTCGGGGGCATAAAAAGGGGTTCTCCACCCACCTAGGGTGCAACAAGAATGATACCTACACAACTGTAGAAATATCTTCAGAATAGAATACAGTAATATGTAATTACATAATAAAAAGTTATATATATGGGGCAAGGAAATAATTCCAACAATGTAGGACAGTATATAACACGGGATTTTAAATCAATAAAAACCGGAAATAAAACTCCTATTTCTGGTATGTGGTGTGTATTTGTGAATAATTGACTGCCAAGGTGTTTTTCATGTGTAATTCACAACAAAAATTGAACAGTTCCTTCGTTGATGTACAGTGCTGTTTTGTAAAGGCTTGTATGGGGCAAAGGGTTAAACACAATCTACACTGACCTACTTCACTATCTATGTCTTTATTATACGTGTAAGTCTGTCCGTTACCTGTCGCTCCACAGGGAAGTTATTTAGTCTGCAGACCTGCAGGTCTAAACAGGTAGATCTACCCATTGCTGCAGTGATGGGCGTATCCAGAGCAGAAATTTGTTGATAATACTAACTAGTCAGCAGCACTATCAAATTCAGCCGAACATTTGACTTTTAGTTTTGATCAAACTTTTACAACGTCCGCAGGAAAGTGACAGATTTATCAGCAAAGCTAGAGGAAAGTTCATCATGTGATTGTGAATCCCAGGGCTGGAGAAATATTGACAATGTAAGTGAACCTTCTGAAGTGTGGAACGGTAAACCTGGATTCATCATCACAGTAACCCTGTGACATCAGTGATCGTGAGGTGGTTATTCTATGGTGTTTTTACATTGCTGTAAGTGTAACAAACATATACTACTGGATGGGACAGTCAAGTTTTTATTTCTTTACATAACAAACTCTAATTTGTGAGTGTTTACTGATAACAATATATTTATACAAGAACAACAAACATCTTAAAAGATTTCAACAAATAATCTATCTTTTCATCAAAATGGCAACTCCTATAAGCCAAATTCCTCTCCGTATCAAAGGTCAAACGACATGTATTCACCACAAGGGGAGAAAACTAGAATTTTATTGTGAAAAATGTCAGGAACTGGTTTGTCCAAAATGCCTTTCTTCTATTCACAAAACCCATCCACTTTGTGAGCTAAGTGAAATTACTCCTCAGAAAGAACCAGACATTAAAAACTTTATAGACAGAACAGAAAAAAATGATCTTGTACAAATTGGGAAATACATCAACTCTACTGATACGCTCCTTAAAGACAATGCCAGTACTTTTGAAAAGCTGTCACAAAAGTTAATAATGCAAACAGATAAATTAAAGCAAGAACTGGACATGCTTACAGCACAGACACTCTCTCTTTACCACAAAATGGAAGAGGATAATAGCAAGCTGATAAAGAAATACAAACAGGACCTGGAGATGTACGAGAAACAACTCAAACAACAAATTCAAGAATGTAAAGCAGCTCTCCAGCAAGTTTCTTACATACAGATTTATGATGCATTTTGTGAGATCCATTCTCCTACACACAGTCTCCCTGTAAAACCTGTCCTGGGTACTGCCAACTTCACTCCAAACGAAAATCCTCAAGATCCCTTGAAAGAAGCCTTGGGGAAAGTTACCACCTCAGGTCAAGGTCAAACTTTAACTGACCAGGATCGGTCAGTCACAATATCTGATGGTCTGGGACAACCCTCTACACAACAACAACAGTCAGGAACAAAAGTGAAGAAAGCAGTGACAACATACAAACTACTGCCACAGACCAAGGTAGTGGAGGAGTGGGAGCCTCCATATCGCATTTATTCTATGTGTCCCACCACTGATGGTCAGGTGTGGACCCAGTACAGTAAAACATTAACTCTCCTGGACAGGAAGGTTAAGTAATACAGGAGGTCAATCACAATGTCAGGATCAATGACATCAGTCTGTCACCCACCACTCACACACTGTGGGTCTGTGATGATAACAACAACATCATGGAGCTGGTATCAGGACGACTGAAACACAGATTCAGTACCAAGGAGAAAACCAGGTGTATATGTGTTACAGCCAGTAACCATGTCATTGAAGGGATGACCAAACACATCTCCAAATTTACCTCTGATGGTAAAATGGTGTGTACTACAATGGCTAAAGGGACTGGGAAACCATTAGTGTGTACACCACACAGGATCTCAGAGTGTCCTGTCACTCACAATGTGGCAGTCACTGATTTCAGTAGTGAAAGAGATGGCGGTGATGGAAAGGGAAATGTTGTTGTGATGGACACTGATTTCAAGGAGCTGTTTGTATATAGAGGTGAAATCCCCAGTACATATAAACCAACACCACAAACAGGAGGTGAACCATTTGACCCCCGTGATGTGGTGTATGACAGTGTGGGAAACCTGATCATAGGGGACTATTATAACAACAAAAGGGTCCTACTCATCAGTGGAGGTGGTGAGTTCCTCAGGGTCATACACACACACAGACTGTACATTGGCTGTAGGTATAGACAGGGAGGATGTCCTGTGGGCAGTTTTTGGGGCATGGGGTGACAATGTCAAACTACTACAGTACAACAGTGTGTGACACCTGTAACCAAACAACTAGTATATCTAGTTACCATGACAATGATATGGAAATCAGAGACAAAGGAAACTTACCATGATTACCAATCAACTAAAGATGTGTGACATTCACAGGATTATAAGTAAAATGTCTAGACTACAGATTGTGTGACATTCACATGATTATAAGTTAAACTTCTAGACTACAGATTGTGAGACATTCACAGAATTATAAGTTAAACTTCTAGACTACAGATTGTGAGACATTCACAGGATGTGTATCCTATACAGACATGTATTCCTAGTTTATACCCGTGTGGATTTTTTTGTGAAAATTTCAATGAAAAACACAGACAGATTTTTCTGCATTACGGACGTATTTATGTAGAAATATAGGTCCAGGTGGATTTTAAGAATTTAGAATAATTTTTGGTGGTATTTTAACTTTGCCATTTTTTCTGACACAGGTTTCAAAACTTTGACATTTTACTGACACAGATTTTAGGACTTAAAACATGTTGCTGACCCGGATCTTAGGACTTGGACACCGATTTGAGAATTTATACATTTTATTGAAATGGATTTCTGGACTTTTAAGACATTTTACTGAAACCGATTTTTGGACTGAATTTTTACTGACATGCATTTCTGGACTTCAGACAGTAAACTGAAACGGATTTTAGGACTTAGACTTTTTACTGACATGAATATTTCTGGATCAACTTGACATTTCACTGACATCCTTTTCTTGACTTGACATTTTACTGACACAGATTACTGGAATTAGACATTTTACTGACACAGATTACTGGAAATAGACATTTTACTGACACAGATTACTGGAATTAGACATTTTACTGACACAGATTACTGGAATTAGACATTTTATTGACACAGATTACTGGAATTAGACATTTTACACTTTTTTAGTTGAAAGTCTTATTGAGAGACTCTTAATATTTATGACTTTTTTTATCTGGCAAAGTTTTTGAATTCTGTGATATCATTAATCCATTTGCTTTCTTTTTCAAATGAATTTAATTATTAAATTCAAGTTTATACAAAGCAAGTTTTACCTGTGAGCTCAAACAGCTTGATAAGTTGAGATGCCTTGTTGTGTAATTTTATTAGATACAATGTAAAGAGAGAATAGTACTTGACATGTAGGTACTTATTAGTTAGAACATTATATGTTATTAATGTACTATTTTAGTAT